GCTACTTGAGTTGTTGCTGTGGTTATTGGTAACCAATGTGTAAACGAATTTTTTTTTCTACTGCGGTTTTTTGTCGAGGCATACGAGTTTAAACATGCGAATTTCAGCCCTTTTTCTTAGGCACAAGTTCTAAAATTCTTATCTCATGTCACACCTATAATAGAGAATCAAAATTTGCTGACTTTTTAGAACTTTTCCGTGTTTTTTGTGGAAACTACTTTTTTTGCAAAAAATTTGCAATTAAAAAATTGTGTTCTATTTTTTAAACAATGTACCATTTATGTTTTTTTTCGCAAATGACATATTTCGCTATCTTATTTTCTAAGCTTTCCAACGATATATAATTTGTACTGGGCATGGCAAAAAGACAATGTAACATTTTCCACTGAATCCGACTACAAAGATAAAATGTAAGCGGGTACAACAGTTTTTAAGATATGTATAACCGAATTTTGAGTTTTAAGATCTTAAAAAGTGCACTCACTTAATTACAATGTTTTTTAGATATACATGGGCAACCGTATGTAGAATTTTCCGCGGAATCCGAATACGATATCGGAATACAAGAAAGTATATCCGTTCTTTAGATATAGCCAAATTTTTGGTTTTTGAGATCTGGAAAAAGTCCACTCCTTTAATTGCAATTTTCTTTGGATATGGTTCGCTAATCTTAAATTTCTTTTTGTATTACTAAAGGCTATTAAATCTGCTATCATCTGCGTCAACAAGATTATCCAACTGTATAAGCAATTTGGTAAAATGGTAATTGTTTAAAAATGCCATAAAATGGCTAAAATTTGCATGTTTAAACTAGTATAACTCGGAAAAAACCACACACATTGGTAACCATAGCAACGACGTGGTGGAGTTTGAGCAAAAAGCTGCCATACAATTTTTTTCTTGGTACACTTGGCGAATTTAGCCCCATATACAGTATCGGTCATATCTATATCACGCCATTTTAAAATGATATTGTGTGCCACTTATGTGTATTTATTTATTTTTAAGAATTTTCAATTAAAATACAGGATGGCAAGAAATAGCGGCGACAAACTTCAACGAGGTCGTACTCGTGAATGTACCAACATAACTGTAAAATTTAGATCACGTTGAATTCTCTACTTAATCTAGTTATCAGTCATTTAGTTATCAGTACTCATTTCGTTACCTAAATCAAAGTTTTGAAACGTCGAACAAAGAAGTGCTATTTCGGAATTGCATCGCCAAGAAATGCGACAATGAGAAATTGTTCGGTTGCTCAACGTTCCTCGCCAAACTGTTTCCAGAGCAATCCAGCGGTTCAATGAACTTGGCCATGAAGGCGATCGCCCGGGACGTGGAAGAAAACGAACTGTCAATACACCAAGGAACCGCCAGATATTTGAAAAGCGAGTTCAATTCTTGCGTCGTGCCGCAAATGCTCGCTGGAAAAAATTTTTTTCACTGATGAGGAACTGTTTACTATTGAGCAAGTGCACAACCGTCAAAATGATAGGATCTGGTCGGCACAAGCTTCTGGTTCATCACACATCATCGAGCACCGCCAAAATTCCAAATCTGTGATGGTTTGGGCGGAATTTGGTCATTCGGCAAAGCTCCTCTGATTTTTGTGGATCAGGGGGGTTAAAATCAATAGGGAAGTTTGCCGTCGCAACATTTTGAAGCATTTTGGCGAACTGGAACGGACATTTCAACAGGATCCCGCTCCTGCTCACAGGGCATCAGAAGTTCAAGACTGGTGCAAAGAAAATTTTCCGAACGTTATCACAGCTCCAGAATGACCACCGTACTCATCAGATCTTAATCCCATGGATTACAGAATTTGGTCAATTTTGGAGACCAGGGCTTGTACTTAGCCACACAAAAGTTTGGACTCTCTAAAGCAATCACTGCGCCGTGCATGGGATCTTATTTCGCTAGAGGAACTGCGGCACAACGCTTAAAGCTCTGCGTTGGTGCCAAGGGAGGCCACTTTGATGTCGGTTTAAACACAAATTAGTAATGCCTAGTACTATTGTAATTATACATAAGTTGTTTCTTTAAATTTTGCTAAAAATAATAGAAAAATATGCAAAAATGCTTGTCCCCGTTATTTATTGTCACCCTGTATAGTTCATTCTCAGACAAACCCCATATAAACCCAAGTTTAATAATTTGTAGAAAACTACAAAAAAGTCCAACAAATCTTCACCTGAATTTCAAACTTTTTTCTCGGAAGTGTTAGAATTTTTTGAGTACACATCATGTGCAAATTTTAAGCGGCTACGAATTACCGCTATTTTTTTAGGATTTTTTTTGTCGCATTGGCTTCCATATAATGAATAATCTCAATTTATTTGTATATTAAAGCACTGCAAATATACCAGCAGAAATACTCTTCACATGTGTACATGAGTAAATGGAACATATATTTTAGAGTACTTAAAAAGATAGGAACAAAAAAAGAGAACATCATAAATTTGAGGAACTGAGAAATGTTACTCAACAGAGCTCTGCTACATAAAACACTGTTCCGCTTTTCCAGAGTACTTGAGTATGTTGATTGCATTCAGTAGTATTTGAAAACTTCATAGGAAGTATAAGAATAATTATGAAGTTTTTTCTTTTAAATGTTAGCGTTTAACATAATGTTAAGAAAAGACATACATTTTCTTTTTATTCCAATATATACTCCAAATATTGTTTTACATTTCTGGCCGGACGCTTCAATGTTTGCAAAAAAGTTCGAATCTTTCATACACATACATGGTTTATGTACATATGTACATATTATGTAATTTTTTTTTTTAATATCGAAAAATGTGTGCCCATTTTCCCGCGACCTGTCTTATGGCCAGTTTTTATTTTCAAATTAATATTTTCATTTCCCAATACCAGGCGCTCATACATGTGAAGTAACAAGTTTTCTATTTTTAAGCAGAAAATTGTTTGTATAAATTTTTAAATTTCCAAAATCCTACTTTGTTAATTTCCAAAGGCTTCTACAAACGAATTAAAATCTTCTACAAACAAATGTATGCGTATGGAAAGCTTCCCAGCCAGCAAAATATCCGGAAACGTATCCGAAAATGGAAAGGTCAATTCTCCCACCAAAGTGTTCATCCGAAACGTATGTGCAGAAAACTATCGAAAATGGTTGTAAAACGGATGCGCTTTCGGCTGTTTTCCTGAAATTAGTCTTATTCAATTTTTCGATGAAAACGATTTGATTATGAACTTCACAGAAACTGTTTCATAGTTACAGGAAACGAAACAAAAAACAATTTTAAGATTCAGCAATTATTTCAATTTGAATAAATAATTTCAATGTGTTGCTTCTGACGGCATTGGAACCTGGGACCTCTTGAAAGCTAACAAATAGTAGCACACTTCTCTGCACACTCAGCTACTGGCGAATACGTATACATGTTTTCAAAAGCTCAGTTTGAACAAATATTTTAAAATTATTGTTTTGAAATAAGAGGATGACATTTTTCGGATACGAAAAATGAACAAATCTGGAAATCGTTTTCTGAACGTTTCCGGATACGAAAAATGTACGAAATCTGCACATTCGGCAAAAAGTACGTTTCTCTGCTGGCTGGGTTGCTACTTCATATGTATGTGCGCCTGTTATTGGGAAATGAAAGTATCGTTTTGTACAAATAATAAAACCTCCGATTATAATTGTCATTCGGTATGTAACTTGAGAATAGAAATCGCTGCATCTTTTAGGCGCATCAATATTACATAGTTACATCCCGAGCTAATAAAAGGAAGGTAATAAAAATTGGTTCTTTGTATAAAATGAGTCCACTTTCTTTATAAAAATATGCTGTTGGCTAAATATTCGGAGTGCCCTACGTTGTTTCTCCATGTTTGCTATTTAACATAAGAGTCAGCTCTAACATTAACATTATGTAGCATTAAACGAAAACTTCCAAAAATACTCAAAAAATACTTGTGAAGGAACATCTTTTTTGTGGAAGTTTAACAGCATGGTACTGCTGATTTATGTTCCCCTTTTTTCGGAACATAATTTGTATGAGTACTTTTTTTATGTACACAGCGCTCAATATCTTCACTTCTCTTCCTTCCATGCCCTCTTTGTTAGAGCATGAGTAGTATACATATTTGAAAAAAACGTCACAGTGAAGCAAACTGAATTCCGATGCAGACCTTTAATGTATATGGAAGAAATCCGCAACACCTAAAAAAATCAACGGTAACTTTTATCCACTTGAAACTTGCACATTATCGGACTAAAATTGAAGGGGCTAAGAAACTGTGTACTCAAAAAATTCTAACACTTCCGCGAAAAAAGTTTGAAATTTAGGTGAGAATTTGTTGCACTTTTTTGTAGTTTTCTACAAATTGTTAAACTTGGGTTTATATGGGGTTTGTCTGAGAATGAACTATATTTTAATCGAAAATTCTTAAAAATAAATAAACATAACAATATCATGTATTATGGAACGAATTTCCGTCATCCCTTGTCAAATTTGGTTTGAAATGGCGTGCTATAGATATGACCGATACTGTGCGTATAGTTACTCCCAAAATTAAGCATACGGCTCTTTTTTGTTAATATTCGCAATGTTTTACATAAATTATAAAACAGCATACCTGAATTCTTTTTAGAAATTTGTATAAAAAATTTCGCGATTTTGCTGAAACTTTGCATATTTTTCCTTATTTTTGTACACAGTATCATTCTTGGATTCAAATGGAATTTGTTAAAACAGAAGCCATGTTTTAAAACAAAATTAACAAAAAATATGAACATGTATAACATTGCGAATATTAACAAAAAAAGCCATACGCTGAATTTGTGGAGTAACAGTATATGTACATAAATTCTGAAATTATTAAATTTGCTAATCAACTTTTAAACTCATTTACAGTACTCTCCCTTGTATCTGCTATTATCGCATCTTCTGCAAGCAGTAAGAAGCAAGCTCCGGCTTGTAGCCGAGCTTGTGGTGAGAAATATGAACCCATTTGCGCCAAAGCAAAAAAGGGCAACAAACTTCTTACGTTCGGTAACGACTGTGTATTGGGACGCTTCAATTGCGAACACCCGGACGAACGTAAGTGAAATAAAATAAATAAAAAATAATACCTTATCAGTTACCTCTATTTTGCAGAATATGACTTCGAATCAAAAGGAGAATGTGGTGGTAATGTTAGCGTACGCCTATCATAAATACAATTCCTTTATACATATGATGTAATAAAAATGTGCAACTAATATCGATGAATAGAATTTATATTTTAAAAGTCCTTTTGTGTAGCACTTAATTTCTATACAAAGTTTCATGTTCCATAGCATATGTACATTCCTACATAGACATCTGATACACCATATCCTTAAATTTTCTCCAGCATCTTGTAAGACATTCTGAATTAACATAATTTAAATAGGGTAATGCACAGGCGCGAAAAACCATTTCTGAAAATAAATGAAAAATATTAATAGTTTATGGAGGTAAGTAATAACGAAATAATTGGGAAATAAAAAAGATATATTAATACATATGTACATACACTTGTGATCGGTAATTAAACCAGCAACATTTTGAACAATTTTGGCAAATTTTTTTTTTTTTTTTGTCTATCTAATGTTTATCTATCTAATGGTTATAATATATAATAAAATTGTAACAGGTCGATGTGTGTACGTTCTAGATATTAAAGAAAAATTAATTTGAGGGGTCTTTATTAGAGCACCAGAAGCCAAATCAACCATTTTTATAATTTTTGTCTGTCTGTCTGTCTGTCTATATATTTGCACGCGCATCACTCGAAAACGAATGCATGGATTTGAATGCAGTTTTCACCGATGTAAAATTAGAGAGTTGACACCTGTTTCAAAATTGCAGTTTAAGTAAATTAATAAGAAAAAATGGATATTGCAATATGGGCGTCAAAAGAAAGAGGCTTACAGCCAAAAATATTTTTTAGAGTTGACACCTGTTTGAAAATTTTATTTTAATTTAATTTATAAGATAAATTGAATATTGTAATATGGGTATCAAACTGAAGAGGTTTAGGAAATGTTATTGTCGAAAATATTTTTAGGGAGGGCCTGTTTGAAAAATATTATTGTATTAAATTGATAAAATTAATGAATTCTATATCCATACTTATAATAAAATTGAAACAGGCCGAGGTCTGTACCTTATAGATATTAAAGAAAAATTATTATGATGGGTTTTTATTAGAGTTACAGAAGCCAAATAAAAGTTTTTTAGAATTTTTGCTCTCTGTCTGTCTGTATATTTGCAGGCGCATCACTCGAAAACATAGAATTGAATGCAGTTTGCACCGATGTATCGCTAGAGATCTAGCTTACAATATAGAAGAAAAAATTAGAGAGTTGCCACCTGTGTTTAAAATTTCAAATTAATTCAATTAATACGGTAAAGTAAATAATAAAGTAAATAAATTTGTGGAAGGTTGCCACCTATTTGAAAACTTGAATTTAATTTAATTGATGGAATAAATTAAATATTGCAATATTGGCATCAAACTAAAGAGGCCAGGAAATTTGAACGCCGAAAATATTTTTAGGGGATTTGCCAACTACTTGAAAAATTGTATTCATTTAAATTTGTAAAATAAATGAAATATTACAATACGGACATTAAACTAAAGAGGATTAGGAAGCTTACATTTGAAAATATTTTTGAAGCTTTAATTCAGTTAAATTTATAAGATAGCCTAAATGTTACCATATGGGTATCAAACGAAAGTATTTGAGAATAATAAAATTGCAACAGGTCGATATCTGTACCTAATAGATGTTAAAGAAAAATTAATAGGGGGTTTATTAGATCAACAGAAGCCAAATCTAAAATTTTTAAAATTTTGGTCTGCCTGTATGTTTGTAAGCGCATCCCGCAAAAACTAATACATGGAATTAAATGCAGTTTTCACCGATGTACATATTGCTAGAGCTCTAATTGAAAATATAGAATCCATTTTTTTTGTTTTAGTTTATCGTCGAACATTGTTCCGAGGTATTTGAATGTATTAACTTTTTCCAGCGCGTGGCGTTGTGTATATTTAGAGTTAGCAACGGACTGTTCTCAAAATTTCGCCTTGATATAACCACAAACATAATTTTATTGACATTCAATTAAGTGTGTTCAAGCATAACCAACTTCTGTGTGGAAGGTTTTTCGCTAAAAAAAATCAAAACTTTTTGTTGTTGCTGCCAAAAAATTAAGAAATCTGAGACGTCATGCTTTACAATTTCATAGTTCTCTGTACAATGTATTTCACTATACTACTAAACGGCTGCACCGATTTGGTTCATATTTGGAACATATGCCAGCACCTTGAAAATAAATATTCCGACCAAAAATTTACTCGGTATGTAGCTCAGGATATTCCTAAAATTCTTATACAGACTAAAACGTAAAAAACCAATATATCTCTAAAACCAATTACGCTGGGAAACTGAAACTTAGCACTGATGCATATATTGCAAATGCATTGGAAAAGGGGGCGTCGCACATTCCATACAAACTGAACTTCTCATATAGCTTATCTCTGGAACCGCTTACGCTAACGTCCTGAAACTCGACACAGATTCATATTTTATCAATACCGTACTTATGGCGAAAAGTGGTAAGTAATGGAAATTTGGCACAGCTACATAAGTTATCAATACCGTAAGGAAAGGCTGGATCGATATACGTTTACATAAATGCGCAAGTATTATTCGATTGGGAACCATTTTCTCCTAGATTTCTAAATCCCATTGAACTATTGCATCTTTGTTTTTAATTTTTAGTAAAAGTTAAAATTTATGTGAAATTTTTTTTTTTTTAATTTTTCACAAAGAATAGAGCTGTGACTTTACGAGTTTCGCTATAGACTGTCTAATCTACATACCTATATACATAAAATTATAGCCGTTTTCGTTGTTCGGACTAAACTCAAAAACCACTGAGTAGAGTTCCGTCAGATTGTCGGAGGTTATCTTACATACATATGTATGTGGTCCTATTCCGTGCTACAAGAAAACTCTCTAGGTGGTGCTGGAGTAGAGTTATTTATAAAATTCGTATTTATTAACCGATTTCGTTCAAATTTTAAATGTGAACTATGTACCTGTATGATGGAAAATTCTTTTGATACAAATTGACCCGATAAGCGCCGCTGGAGTCGAGGTTGATATTCATAACACGTATTCATTTTATGGTAAGCAATGGTTTTGCAGAAAATGGACCCAATGGATGGCGCTGCAGCCGAAATGTATAGAAACCCCGTGTGGTTGGTCTGCTTTGGCAGTGTTGCCAGGTCTTCGGCAAGAGAAAACGTCCCTCTTGGTCTGAAAAAACGTCATTTCCTACCCAAAAACGTCGTTTTTAAATGAATGTACAAAAAATTGTTATTGTTAAACTTTTATTGTATACAAAGGTACATATCGAGCCCTAACCGCCAAAATAACGTAATCGACATTTTTTTCATAATTTTCTTTTTGATGCAGAAATATTCCTAGAGCATTTAGATGCATTTCTGCATCAAAGAGAAAATTTTGTCGCTTACGTTATTTTGGCGGTTAGGGCTCGATATGTACGTAATGTATATTATTTTAAATGTCATTTGGACAGAGCACATTTAAAATTCATTGGTCCTTAATATAAAAATCATTTTATACATACACTTGTGATCAGCTGATTAAGTCATCAATATTTTGATCAATTTTGGCTGTTTCTCTTTCCTTTATTTAATGTTTATTATTTTTCCATAAAAGCCAAGCTCATTAACGAACCAAATATAAATCCAGAAAAATTGTGCAAAAATTATAAACAATCTGCGAATTGAGTATGCAGTTTGATAGCCCATTAAATTTCAGGGCAATAATGTGCAAGTTTTAATTGTTGCTAGTACTTGCAAGTTTTTACTGGGAATGCATTCAATAACCCAAACTATTTGCAAGAGGGAGCGAATTCGAGAGCGTAACAACCCGAGAGAGCTGCAAATTCTTGCAAGTAAAAATTTTACTAGCTGGAATTTGCAGGAGTCAACAGTAAGGTTATGTTTCAAACTCAAATGTAAACAAACTGTTTAAGAAGATGATTTGATGAAACATAATTAGTGAAATGAAAATATGGATTAAAAATTTAAATCTATTGTATATTTTTTTATTTTTATGACGATGGAAACTATTCCCAATTAAAAGAAAATTGCGCGCCAAAACTTAACCGTCAGAAAGTGTCAAAATGGCTTAAGTTGCAAGTTTTTAGTAGTTTTGCGTTCAATAACTTTTTCTGAAAATTTTCTCTTGCTCTCAATTTTACTCTCTATTTTTCTTTTACGCTCTCGCTGCAAGTACTTACTAGAAAAGTTATTGAATGGACATAATATTTTAATATTTAATATATTAAAAAAGTCGCCTACTTTTTTCTGACGGTTTATGCTGCACAGCTTTTTTGATGCTTTTGTGAGCGTGCCTGCTGCAATAGATCGGCTCTTCCTGAATTGGCTTTTAATGTGCAATTGCAAACAAGCCTCGTAACATCAAGTGTTTACACAAGCAGCCTTTGAACATGGGATCCTTAGCCCAAGAATCCAGAAAAAATCTTTTGAAGCAGCTGCAGTAAAACACAAAGATTATAAAGATTTTTTAAGAAAATAATTCAAAATCAGTTCTACTTATAAGATTTAGTAACAAAAAAAAAATACTGGGAAGTTAAAAAACGTAATTTTTTACACAAAAAACATCCAAACGTTAACAGGGTACAAAAAACGTCCAAATGACGTTAAAAACGTCAACCTGGCAACGCTGTTCTTTGGCCCTATGTTTAAGTTATACGAATTTAGTTTTCAGATGTCTAAATGAAGGATGGGGTTAAGTATGTCTGACGCCCTCATGCACGATCATGCGATCTTGCATCTACCTAGAAATCAATTCCTAAATATTACCCCGAATTGTAAAAGTGTCGAATTAACAAGGACAGATCACCATGGGTATATCAATTGCTTCATTTGAAAGATATACAAGAGGTCACAGGACTCATTGAGCCAATGTACCGGAAAGCTCTTCATCCTGTGGGACAGCGAGGATTCTTGGCCCTCCTATAACAGAAAACGCAATTTTGTGCTCTTGAGTTTCCTTATAAGAACTTTTATAGGCACTTTTATATCGCACCAATGTTGTATGTAGTTGTAAGATCATAGAAAAAGATTACGCATGCTTGGCAGAGATCTCACAGGTGGAAATAAGACCAACGGTAAAGCTCATGACACCGAAAAGGATTGGTATTCCATATGGTATCACAGCGTTACTATTATTGGCCTATGTGTGAGGAGGACACTGCCCCTTAGTGGTTTCAACTTAAAACAAAAATTTCGACTTTACAGACTATTTTTGCTTTTAAACGCTCTTTTGCATTGGCCAACGCAAAAGTTCTTATTAGGCGCCGCGAAGTAAGCGGG